GGCAGCTGTGAGCAGGGCAGTGAAGCCTACGCACAGCACAGTCCACGGGCAGAAGGCCAACCAGGGAAATGCCACTCCAGGGGCCAAAACAGCTGAGTGATTTCACAAGCACACATTAAACCACAACCATCTGTGAAACAGAAAGCCCAGGAGAACATTTACCACCTTCGACAAAAACACTGAGCAGGCCTGGGTGGGGGGGCCTGCGTACCTGCCACACAGCCCCCAGCTCCACGGGCCGCAGGGACATCTGACACTTTCACAGGCTTCAGAGACAGTGAACCAGAGGAAGGGCAAGCAGGTGAGGTGTGTGAAGCGCAGAAACCGTGGTGCGTTCGGCCAGTAGAAATAGTTCACACCGGCCACGACAGATCACCCGGACTGCGTGCGCACAGGACTCATGAGGGCGCCCCATCGCGGGACACAAAGGCGTCAGGGCGGCTGCCTTCCTTGAGGAAAGAAAAGCAATTTCCTGTATTTTTCAACCCATGCTTGGAAAAATGACAAGTCTGAGGTCTAAAAGAAATCCGGCAACAAGTGGAAAGAAGCCAGATCAACTTCGGGGGAGGCTGGGCAGAGTGAGAACCTCTCAGAGCTGAGCCTGCCTCCAGGGACCAGGAACTCTCCACCCGCTACTGGTATCTGAGCAGCTCCTGCCCAGCCTGAAGCTCAAGCCTGAACCAGGAGAGACAAAAAGCAAAGTCAAGGGCTCTGGGCACAGGGGCACAGGGGCACAGGGCTGGGACAAGCTCTTTGTGAAACGGAGCAGCCTGGAGAGCCTCCCCTCCATCCCCAGAGAGGTCAGTGGGAGGTCAGAAGAGGCACAGCTTGAATCAGGACAACAGGGCTCTAAATTGAGTTCCCCCACTCTGCACGGTACCAGGTGATACACAGGGCTTGAACTTTAGAATCAGCTGGACCTGGTTCAAATCCTGGCTCCAGCCCTAACCAACAGTAAGTATAATGCACCCTGTAAACTGCGGACAAGCACCACCAATACACTGAAGGACTGTCGTGAGAATCAGAGACAATGGATACAAAACATCTGAAGCACGGATGACTGTCGAGCACGGCAGTCGTCATTCTGCTTCCAGAGGCCCGCAGAATCCGTATTCCTGCAGAACATCTTGCTGGAGGAAGCTGTCCCTCCAGCCCCTCTGGGGCTGTGGTCTCCATTTCAGATTAGGATGCTCTCACCAGCAGAGGAATGAAGGACCCAATCTTTATGCCAAGACTTTTTACTTCATTTGCTCTGAGACTTACTCATCCACCTATTTCTGAGAGGATATACCATGCTTTAAAAATTTAGTAAACAGTGCAAAATTAGGTAATCAAGATTAAAACAGAAAGTCTGTCTGAGGGATACAGAGGATAAATGTTGGGGTGCTAGAAGCTGAGGCCAAAAGGAAACAGGCTGGGGGAAAGAGATCTGACTTTCTGTTCGACGGAAGAAAGGACCAGTAGAATCTGTGTGGCCAGGAGGTACCCAACCAGGCTTAACTTCGCAGGGAACTCCTTTAACCTGAGAGCCAGCAAAGTGGTGACTGGCCACTTGGAACAGAGTTCCTGGCCCATTCCACCCTCTGTCTCCCCATGCCACAGGCGCTCCCTGTTTTGGAGGAGACCAGCCACGGGTCCAGTCTGAACCACTCATCACACTCCTGCCTACACAATTCCAGAGTAAACAACTTAGAGTTAACCTCTGGAAAGTCCCAGAAGAGCAATAAAAGTGGTAAGGGGAGAAACTGTCACTCTGACCAAGAAAAAGTATGAACAGCTTTAAAAATAGGTTTCTAGGTAAAGATAAGAAGTTAGGGGCAGGCATCCCCTCATTCCAGCCCAGCCCAGCGCAGCACTGGGAAAACAGCCGCAATGAGGACAAGGGAGTTCATTCCTTAGCTGTGGACACCGCTCGGTGGCCTCTCCTAGCAATGGGGTTTTCTAGGGGGAAAGATGGCAGCTCAAACCTTCCACTCATAGGGCTCTATTTATCCTAAATAGAGTCCTAAATAGAAACAAACTGTTTCCTTCTCTCCACACACACCCACACACACTCACACACATACACACACACACACACACAAAACCAAAATCAAAACAAACAACAGCTTCCCAAGAAGCCTTAAGTCCTCCACAGGAGTGGGATTTAAGGCAGTCGCATGCACATGCCAGCCCCCCCAAGCCCCTCAAGTCTGGAACTAGCAGTCCACCCCAGGGACACCAGAGTGAGAGTGAAGTCAGAACAAAGGGCCCCCTGTGGCTGTGAGATAGGCCTGTTCCGAGCTCCGAGCTCTGTCTCCAGGGCCTGGGGTCAGAGGAAGCCCAGAGGGCATGGGGCTGCCCAGCCAGCTCCAGCCTGCAGGAGCCGCCTCTCCCACCGCTGATTACATGTCTGCTGGCTCTGTCACATTCAGTTTGCAGGATTAAGAGGAAGGGCCTTTAATCCGGCCAAATCAGGAGGAGGCAGAAAATTCAGTCAACAGAGTAAGGCATGCTTAGGACTTTGAAGAAATCTTTAAAAATCTAATTATCAGGGAAATCTAATTAATATTAAAAAATCTAAATATCATGGAAACAAACAAGAGCTGGGATGCGCTTCAAATAATGGGGGATAAAGTGGTTAGGAACGCAAATAAAACAAGATTGGCTACAAACTGTTCAAGATGGACCCTGGGTACACGGGGTTTTATTTCACTGTTCTCCCTACTGTGATATGTTGGAAATATTCCAACACAAATTTTAAAAATCACACATCTTTATTGTGGAAATTTAAGTAAATATAATAAAAAACATTAGAAAATAAAAACCACACATAATCCTATCACCAGAGACAACTGCTGTTAACACTTCCATGTATTTATTTCCAATCTTTTCCATATTTTTTCTTTTGTTTGCAAAATAGAATCGTATGTCTATACTGTTTTATCACTTGCTTTCCGTTCCTCTTTTCATTTATCTTCAGTATTTTTCAAGTCCTCAAATACTCTTTAAGGGGACAACTGCTACAGTCTTTCATCCATAGGCAACTGTAACCTATTCCCAATATTTGGCTACTGTAAATAAGGCTGTGGTGAACCAGGAAGAGGATATTTGTTATAAATAGGTGATTTCAAGTGAGGAAGAAATTGCCTGCTATGTACCCAAACACAGGCTGACAGCACAAAGGAATGGCGAAGAGAAAAGCTGGGGGTCTCAACTGCTGAATTCCAAGCCATTAGTAACTTCCTGGGGACCAAAAGATTAAAACTGAAACCTGCTCTGAAGTGCCTCCTGGCCAACAGTAACCCACAACTGGGTGCAGGCATGGGGGTTAATAAATCTGCCAGCATCTCCTCTGAAATGCTCAAGTCTTGAAATACTGAGTTTACCAAGGGAAGGGTATTTTCATGGGTCTGGGCTGGCCCAGGAAGGTTCTGTGGGCAAAAGAGTGAATCAAATGGCTTCTCACAGACCGTGGTGCCTCAAACATCCCATCTTGACTCATTTAATTCAACAGAATTAACTTAACTGGACATTGCATAGGCCTGTCACTGGGCTCTGTCCTCCAAGCCTTAAAGATGATTTCCTTCCCGCAAAAGAAAATCCACAAAATTCCCGAGACGGGAGATGAGAGAGCGCCGACGTCCTCCCTGCACTATGTGTTCCTGCCAAGAAGCGGATTTGGCAGAACGTCTGGGAAGACAACACCTCATACAATCAGTCTGAATGCCAGTCAAAAATGCAATTTTATTTTCTGAAACAAATCCATTTTGGGATGCACTCAAAATATTCAGAGCTGAACACATCCTAACTGTGTCCCACCTGGCTTTCTTGGGCTGCTACGAAGTGTCAGGGGCCCCTGAATCAAACCATTTGACTCCAGCCAGCAGCTGGGCAGGGGCCGCTCTGTAGCCATCCTGAGTAGGGGGCCACTGTGAGACCTTCCTCCTCCCGGGAGGCCCCAAAGACACAGGGATGGGGCAGGATGACACTGGGACCAAGAAGAGGACTGCAGGAGGCTGTGATGCTTTCCTCATAATTTTCTTTCCTCTTACCCGCCTCTGTCTACCATTCTGGTGTTTTATTTCAAACAGGACAATTGTGGCTCTCATTCTGTGGAGGACAGAGGGGAAGAGGGGAAGTGGATCTGTGACACACTAAATACAGGCTCTCTGAGGTCAAACATGCAGCCTCTCCTAACGGTTCTAACCTCCTTACCCCACCCTCCCCTGACATGAGTCCCAGCCACCGCCCTGGTGCCGAGCCCACCTAGATTTTCAAGAAAGCAAGCACCACCAATGACCCGTCGCCTATGATGACCACTGTGGGAAAAATTTTTAAAGTATGTGTTGGGATAGTAAATTCAAGAGTGATATTTATTTTTATCTTCTGTTGTTGTTATTGGGTTGTTTTGACAGAAGAAAATTATTTTAAGAATAAGTTATTACCAACATTCCATTTACATATTTCGCTGAGATTGGAACCTCTCAAAGCATGAGTTCATTTCTGACCCAAGTCTGTGTCCTCCCTCTGGATTCATACATCACAGAGAAGCAGGATAAAAACCAACAGAAATGCAAACAAAGATGACGTGCGATTCTCTCTTTCAGCTGGAGTCCCCATTAGAGCAATCTTTAACATTTACCAAAATTGAGCCATAAAGCTCTATAAGATTCTATGCACATGGCTTGACCTTTCCTTTTTTCCTTCGAAAAGAAGCAAAAGAGCCAAATGTGGAAACACAGAACAGCTGTCTTCTGGCAAAGACAACAACCCATTGTACACAGCCACACCCCGACACAGACACACACCAGCTCTGAGCCATCCCTGCACTCCGGCTGGTTTGACTGCTGTAAATTTCCCCAAGGGTCCACTGAGCTCACCCTCTGATGTAAGAGTGGACAGGAGCCACAGGCTGGGGTGGCTCAAAATCTGCCGTCTCCTGTAGGCTGTGCCAATACCCGCAATGACGCCTCTTCCGTGACCTGCCATGCAGGGACAGGGCCAGAAGGGACGGTTACCTTGCAGACGGCCGCCTGGAGCACCGCATCAAAGCCGCCCTCCGGGGCATCGCGGTTCCGGGACACCCTCTGTTTCCGAACTTCCTCATTGAAACTGTCGACTCTGTCTGTGAGAGGCAGCAGATGGCGGAACCCAAAGGAGGGGACACAGTTGGGGAATAACTTGTAACTAGAGAGAAAGAGAAGAAGAGTCACTTTTCCATCATTGTCTCTAAATCTTAAACAACCAAGTACCCTGTGCATTTACTGAATGCCCTGAGTGGCACAAACGAGTATCTACTCAACACCTATCATATGCCCCTTTGGGACAAGGACAGTGGGGACAATAGAGAACAGTCCCTACTCTCCAAATACAAGACTTAAACTGTAGGCAAGACGGCATATACCGGGTTGTAAGTAAATGAAATGGACAAACGGGTCAGAGGAAGTAGAGATAACAGTGGGCTGCTGTAGTCGGAGGAAGATGTCATGGAGGAGCCCTGAGGTGGGCCTTGGAGGAGGTAGGGGAGTGGTGTCCAGGCACCGCAGACTAGGCAGCGCCGAGGGAAGGCTCTTTCAGGCTGAGGAAGGCGGGAGATGCTGAGAGAGGGCGGTGTGAGCAGAGTGACTCTGGGAATCCAGTTTCCTATATCAATTCTGCTGCTGCATATGACAGAGGATCACAGAACCCCTCAGGTCAACCCACTCAGAGCCCACAGGACGTGCTGGCACATGGGCACACGCTGAATGCAACTGGAATGAAAGAAAATGTTCTTTCTGCTTCTTCACTCATTTTATCAACATTGGAATGACAAACCATCAGCTCTCCTAGATGCAAAGAAAAATTATTTAGATACAAATCATCTTCAAATGGAAAATTCTATCTGGGAATTTGGAAAAAGGGAAGTACTGTGTCTCTAGTGGAGGTCGATGCCATGTCTTTCTCCTGAAACATTGGGTGCTCTCATCTTTAGCTTGCTGTAGAGATCCCAAGTGGCCCCATTCCTGGAGGAGGTTAGATTCTAGCCACAGTTCTATATTTGGTTGGATATACAGCCAGTGAAGTAGGAAGAGGGGCCTGGCATTGTTTCACAGATGGGTTCACTAAGTAAAAGGGGAGTAAAAGCAGAGACAGGGAAGAGCATCCTGGCCAGAGCACATGCAAAGGCCCTGTGGAAGAAGGAGCACCAAGAGCCCCAGGGCAGAAGCAGGCCAGTGAGACTGCAGTGCAGGGAGTAAGGGCAAAGATGGGCTGTGGGAAGGCTGGGGAGGCCAGCGGGACCAGACTGTGCAGGTCTGTGGCCATGTTAAAGAAGCCTCTCTTTCTGAACAAAAGATGAAAAACAAACACTAACAGAGAGGCATAAGGGGAAGACTTCATAATCCAACTCAGGCTGTGTGCGTGGGAAGGGAAACACGCTTAGCAACTGCTAGGGGCTCCCGCCTACCTGCCACCAAGAAGGGCGGCCAGGGCAGGACTGAAAGGTTCCCCTCCTCCATGAGAGAAGCAACCTCAGGCTTCCTAAGAGGCCATCTGTCAGGGCCTCCAGTACCTGTTCCATCAGTCACTCTCAACAAGACAGCCTGGCCAGTCAGCCCCACTGCCATCATGGCCACCAGACGGAGCAGCAGCCAGAGGCTGTCCCCGCTTGCCTTTCCTTTGCTTTGCTCCCTATTCCTTCCCCCCAAACCTTCTCCGCCCCTTGTGCCCAGACAGCTCAGACTCTTCCATAACCTGTGCCACCCAAACTGTCTGTCCCTGTCTCACTTCGCCACAAAGAGAGCAGGAACTGAGCTGAGGTCCCAGCCTAGCTGTCCGACAGCGGGGTGGCCCAGGAGGAAAGAAACAGACACACATGCTCACTCCCCTGGCTCTCCCTCCACAACTTCACCCTCCATGCGGGCCCCGTCCATGGTGGAGGACCTCAGGTGTCTGAGTGCTGTCACGGTTGGTCAGGTTGGATGAGGAAAAAGGGAGGAGGGGAACAGAACAGTAACTGCTGTTCAATGAGAAAACCAGAAAGGCTGTGAAAAGCTCGGCTAAGTTAGCTCAGCATTTTCTACCGCTTCCCTTCCCTTCCTGCAAACAGCAGTGAGTAGATCCATCTTTACTGTGGAGAACTACTGTTAATAATCAGGAACTACAAAATGTGTTTGCCAGAGAGATGCTTTCATTGCAGAGAATTTAGAATAACCAAACCAGAGTCACCTCTTGGTGAGAGGAAAACACCTTTGTCACACAGGGTCTGCTGAATGTCCGCACAGTCCTGTGTGACTAGTTAATTAATATAACCTCTGGGAGCACTGTTGGAGTGACCTCAAGATCTGGGTATTTGAAGGTTTTGTGCCAGGAAGCCCTCCCACCCCCACGCTGTGTCTGTGCCATAGGGCCCCAGGTTAGGGCCGTGGACTGGGAGTTACTAGATTAAGGATTATGAACCAAGAAGATAAATAAAATATATATGCTTAAAGAGCCTGAGGGATTGCTTGTGTGTGTAAAAATGAATCCAATTTGAAGATGCTAGATCGAGGGATCCAGAAAACAATCTAATGCTGCAAGATAATCCTGTGAGTCATCGATCTGACAAGGAAGGAGCTTCCCTCTTTCTCTAAACGTAGAGAACTGGGGGGTAGAGTATAATCTTTAAACATGTTAATATGTAGCCAAGATTGGAAGCTTAACAGGGAAATACCGGGTGCCAGGAACCAAGAGGAAACCATTCCACAAATGGATTCAAGAGACCAGGTGGGAAGGGAGCAGGAGCTCCCGCCGAAGGGCCCCCTGGTGTGTTGGGACCTGATAGGGCCTTAGGGCTGGTTCTAACAGGGATGGAGGAGAGATCGGAACAGGGCTCTGCGTAAAGTTGACTCCTACAAAGAGCTGCCCTGTCACTAAAATCAAAAACAGAAAGATTCCAGCCACTGGCCTGGGAAAGAAGTAAGGAAGATGCACTTCAGGCCCAGGGCAAGATGAATCACCCATGAAGATTGTAACTCCAGACCTGAACAAGTCAGAATTCATTACTTTTACAGGGAATGAACCCCCAGCTGAGAAATAAAGAGGAAAACTAGTCCCATAGTGAAACGGAGGATCCTGGCAACAGGGAACATAAAGCCACCCTGCAGGGGAGTCAGCACACCTGAAGCACGTGATCGCCGGATGGAAAACCATCTGATGAAGAGAAGCTAATGAAAAAGCCAGAGGCCCCGTGAGAAATAAGCCACCATGTTGGAATGTCAGCAAATTCAACCAACTGAAGGAAGCAGATAACAAAGTGTTCTAAAGTACTTTCAAACAAAGATATCTCAAACACAGAAGGAGAGGAAGGAATAAAATATGCAAGACCAGAATGGGATATTATTAGAAAGGAAAAAGTCAGAAGTCTATGAAAAGATAGCATGAAAAACAGAAGTCTGAAAAAGAACCAAATAAAAAGAAGTCACTGGAATTCAAAAATGAAACTTCAGTGTATGGATTAGAAAACTGAAGAACAAAATGGTAAACTGGAAAAAATTTCCTACTCTGCAGCCAACGGGAAGGAGAGGTAGAAAACGGGAGAAAGATTAAGAAGCATGAAGTTTAGAAAGAGAAGCCTGAACGCACACCTAGTAGTGCTAGAAAGAAAAATGGAGAGAATCAGAGAAAGGAATTAGATGATGTCTGAGAATTTTCCAGAATAAAGCTGTATTTTCAGAGTAAACAAGCAGAGCAAGTTCTAAGCAATGTAAATAAAAGTACTAAATCCAACCCTGCCACACTGGAGTGCTCAGCATTATAGAACATGGAAAGCACAGGCAAATATTAAAAGCTACCAGAGAGAAGGAAACCCATTAGATGGACAGCAGACTTCTCATCAGCTATAAGACACGCCAGAAGACAGTGAAATCTTCAAGGTGGTGAAGGAGTACATGACCTCTTGGAAGAAATATGAAGGGTAAGAAGAAATATAAATGAGGAAGGATGAAACGTATTATCTCACTTGCAAAGATTTTTACATGTGACTTCCATTGTGTGTGTGTGTGTGTGTGTGTGTGTGTCTGTATGGTGAGAACATTTAAGCTCTACTCCTTTAACAACTTTCAAGTACACAATTATATACCATTTCAAGTATAGTATTGTGAACTGTCACCGTCACGCTGTACATTAGGTCTCCAGGGCGTATTCATCTTATAACTGGAAGTCTGTACCCTTTGACCAACATCTCCCCATTTCCCCGATCCCCACTTCCCAGCCCCTGGCAACCACCACTCTGCTCTGTTTCTGAGAGTTTGGCCTTTTTAGATCCCACATGGAAATAAGACAAGGCATGTATTTCAACAGCCCAATATTTCTAACAAAAGAAAAAATGTTCAGAACCAGAAATAACATCCTGGATTAATCTGCCAAATCCTGTTATCAGTGAACATCATGTGACTCTTCCCAGTGACACTATTCCTATTATCAGAATAGCAATTAAACAGTTCTTTGATGATTAAATTCCTTTACTTATTAATTATTTTTCTTAATAATACCGGCAGCCCCGGTACTACTCACTTCAGTTCTGGCATTTCTGGTGCATTCTAAGATGGGAGGGGATGAGTCTAAGCGTTTTATCCTTTGGCAGAAACTTATGGAGCAGAAGGAGGTGGGACAAACCGCAGGAAAGCCCCACGAAAAACTGGTTCTCTTCTCTGAGCTGCCCTGCACAGGTGGTTAGATCACCCCTCCTGACTCCTCATCTCCCCGAAACTCCTACCACAGGGGAGAACCACCTATCAGAGGTACCACTGAGAGAGAACCCTGTGGTTTTCTCTCCACTTGGGAGGAAGGAAAAGAATAAGCAAGGTTCACAGACAGCATCTACGGAGCCACGCATGAAAGACAAACTGAGACAGGAAGACAAGGGTACAGCCATTTCGGAAAAGGACCAAGGGCCCAGCCTTGAGCGTGGGGGCTTGACAGGTCCAGTCAAACAAAGTGCCTACAATCTTGCGATTCTGAGACAATAATCAAACACCCACAGGAGTAAAAGATTAGCTCCATCTCTGTTCCACTGATACACGTACATGGTTTCCAAGGACAAAAGCGGGACTATAAATCCACCACCCAGCAGAATCACCAAAGTCCCAGTTCCTTGAAAGACACAGATAAAGGCCTGACACACACCACTAGGTCGTTTGGGCTGGAAGCGGGCCCCCACCAGAGGCAAACGGCTGACTACAAGCACGGGGACTCCAGACTGGTTGAAACCAGAAGGCTGGTGATGCTCAAAACTTCACCATGAAGCCAACCAATCCAAAAACTGACCACAAGCTCATCAGGCTCCTGGGGCCCCTCCCTCACATGGCCTTTAAAATCCCTTCCCGGAAAGTCCTTGGGAAGCTGGCACTCTTTTTCACCTTCTCGCTTGTACACAAGCTATCCTTTCAATTAAAAGCTTTGCTCGCCTAAGAGTCTTGTGGGAGCGATATGAGTATCTATGGTACTGCTGTCCAAGAATCTGGAGAGGGCCTGGTAACAAAACTAGGGAAGCCGGCCAGCTGGGAGACAGGAGGGAGTGGTAGGGACTGTGGCAGCCAAACAACATATGGTACAAACCAGGCTTTTCCAGACCTCCTAGTTTTTTTAGAAATCCTAGAAATCCTGGCTATTTTTGGTTAAATCTTCTATTTTCAACTGTTGGTAACTAATTCACAGTGCTGCAGAAACTTAGGAAGGCAAACAAAGCACATATATAGCCTGGATCAGGAACAGGAACAGCCAGATCACATCCCCCAGCTTGCTCTGCCCCACCCCACCAGGAGCAGTAGGGCATCTCTGAGGACACCCAGGGGACCGCACACCGTCCACTGCATGAATGGGGGCGATAACCTCAGCCTGCTCACCGAGCCATGGAGGCACTCCCCAGTGTGCTGCCCAGCTTCAGGAAGAGAGATATGCATAACACAGGCCTGATACTTCCTTCAAAATTCTTATTCTTCGCCGGATTTCCTGTCTCCCAAGCAGCTTGTCAGTGAGACTCACTGTCTGCAGTTGGTTCTGCCTTCTCTGGCTGGGAGAAGGAGCTCTGAATAAGTAGAATGTAGTAACTTTGACTATTCAAACACTGAGGGCCACAAGCCAGTCCTTCATCCTCTGCCAGCTTCCAATCTAGCCTGTGATGGTTTGCCGATGGTCCCCAGAAGATGGAAGCGGGGACACACCCTGTCTGTCCGGAGACAGAGCCCAAGCAGATGGCAGAGGTGAAAAGCAGCAGAAAGAATCACTATTTCAGAGGAACTGAAAACAGTTTTGACTAAGATGCCATTGCTCTTGCTAAGTAGCAGAACTCCAACAGAAGGACATGTGGCACTGGGACACAGCTAAAAAGGGCCTTGGAGACAGGACCAAAGCAACAATAATGCCAGCAGCCACCTGTGGCCAGGAGGAACCTAACCCAGCAAATGACGACTCCTAGGAGCTCTTCATGGTTAAGGAGCTTAGAATCTCATTTGTATCTAAAACACTTTCTTATCTTACTGTTTTTTCCACCAGCTGCGTTGTTCTCCGGGGGAAGATCTATGGTAGCTTCTAGGAGAGTGCACAGAAGGATCAGAAGGACTCAGAAGGACACCCACCTCTAGTAAAAACCACCTCGCCTCACCCACCCACCTCAACCCAGAGCTGGGAGCCGCTGAGGCTGCCAAAGGTGAGCTGGCAGGTCAGGCAGGCTTAGGGGCTTACGAACAGCATTTCCCCCCAGGGGCGGCCAAGGAGACCAAGAACTGAAAATGACATCACAAGATACCTGAATCCCAGAGTCACCATTTGAAGAAGAGCTGCCACAGAAAGTGGCTCTCATCAGATTCTGTAGATTTTTTATTTTTGAAGAAATAAATGTTCATTGTGTTGAGCTGCTGAGATCTGGGGACTGTTTATCACTGTAGCATAGCCTAACATTACCCTCAGGCAAGTGCCCAGAGGTTGGGTGGTTTTGGAACAGGAATTATTACTCAAACTCAGGTACAGTATCTGTGTGGCGGTGTGATTTGGATGGAGAAAAAATAAGCATTATATTAATGGAAACATAGAGCTGGAATTAGTTCATCTTGATTCATATTCCAAATCTACCCCTTACTATTTGTGTAATCTTGCGTAAGTTGTTTATTCTCTCTAAGCCTTGGTTTCCTCACCTTTAAGATACAGCTCACTTCTACATTAGAGGCCTCAGAAGACTGCTATGAGATTTAAGTGAGATATTCCGTATAAGGTATTTAGTACAATGGATGCCTAATGCTTAGTAAGAACTTAAGTCTTAGCTATTCCTTATCTAGTGACTATTTTGGGACCTTACATGCCAAAGCCTAACTAAAGTTAAACGTGGAGATGAGGCAAGAAAAATCAGGAAGTTATCACTTGTTGTCACACTGCATAATCGCACCATTTAAAAGAATATTTAAAAGACCAGGAAGGAAACCAACCAACCTCACAAAGGTTGTGTTAGGGGAGGTGAAGGAAGTGACATAAACGCACCATGGCAGAGACTATGCACCAATCCCTTTTTCCTGTTCTGCCTGGACACAGCCAGTCTCGCTCCCAGGCCTCCCTGCTGGAACCCAGTTCTGCAGAACAGAATGTAGGTGCAAAGGCCACTCTGTCCTGGTCCAGTCCTTCTCCAGGGAGCCGACCTTACAAGCCACACGTGGACACACGGAGCCTGGATCCCTGAGTCACTGCTTGGAGGACAGGTGTCCACTGATCAGGAGACCCAGGTGCACTTAGGTGAGCAGGAAATAAACTTCCATCAAGTCTGAGCCGCTACATGCTTTTGGATTTGTTCGTTGCGGCAGTTAGAACTCCTGTTCTCTCCTAATTTGTCAAATATTTTCTAATTCAAGTATTTATATTGGGGAAAAAACATACCTATAAAACGCAGGGTTTTCTTTTTGTTTTGTCCAGGTAAGTTATAGTTATTTATATAAACACCAACAACAGACTGTGAATTCACTTATCCCAAACATCTCAGGTAACCCAAACGAGGGGAAAGTATAAGTTGTTCTGCCGGCTCCCTCCCTGATCACCTGGGGTCCATCACTTCCTGAGAACATTCTCAAAATCTATTCACGTAGCAAACAGTGCTGTGTCAGGCAGGTAGGAAAACAAAGGAGCTATGATCATTACCTCTTTATGCAATCTTGTAACAGTTCATTTCTTCACACTCAGAGACAATGGGAGAACTGGACCAGCATCAATCACATTTAACACCTTAGCCAGGTTCCCTCCCCCTACCCAGATATGCCCTCCTTAGTCCTGTCCTCAGGTTAAGTCTTCCTGCTGATCCATCCATTCCCCACCCAACAGAAGGGCGGCTGGTCACTTACCCAATGCAGGGGTTGGTCTGGTACCTCGGTGCTGTGTAAGAGAAAGGAGAGATGTTCTTGTCTACAAAAGACCCGAACCCCAGTCGGAAGTTGCTGGTGAGCTTCCTCATCTCCTCGGCCAGCTTGGTGCCCAGGCTGCGGATGTTGTCCAAGTCATCCTTCATGGACAGAGAGAGGTCCATCAGGTAGTACAGGTCCACAGGATAATCCTCCACCTGACGAACCTGCAGCTGGAAGGTCGTCTGCTCACCTGTGCCAACAGAGAGACCGTGTTTGTGAGAGGTCATCCAGCTTGCTGGAGCTGAGTTCAGGGATGGGTTTTGTTTTCAAAGCCAGTCCACCTCTGAGTTTTCTTCAGTGACTGTGTGCCTCTCAGAAGGAATCTTTTTCTTGGAGGCAGAGTGACTGAAGGGGATGTGAGTGCTGAAGAAGCCGCTCTAAACACGAGACACCATTCTTAAAGAAACTCTTTAAGAACCAGTCTCCTTTTAGGGTTTTCTATATATAGTAACATGTTGTCAGCATATAGTGACACTTTTACCTCTTCTTTTCCAATTTGGATCCATTTTGTTTCTCTCTCTTGCCTGACTGCTGTGGCTAGGACTTCTAAGACTGTGTTGAATAGGAGTGGTGATAGTGGGCAGCCTTGTCTTGTCCCAGATTTTAGTGGGAAGCTTTTGAGTTTTTCACCGTTAAGTACTATGCTGGCTGTAGGTCTGTCATACATAGCTTTTATTACGTTGAGATACGTTCCCTCTATACCCACTTTGGTGAGAGTTTTCATCATAAATGGGTGTTGAATTTTATCAAATGCTTTTTCTGCATCTATTGAGATGATCATGTGGTTTTTGTCCTTTCTCTTGTTGATGTGATGTATTACATTGATTGATTTGCGTATGTTGAACCACCCTTGTGTCCCTGGGGTGAACCCCACTTGGTCATGATATATAATCTTGTAAGCCAGAAAGAGAAAGAAAAATACCATATGAGATCGCTCATATGTGGAATCTAAAATTAAAAACAAACAAACAAAACATAAATACAAAACAGAAATAGACTCATAGACATAGAATACAAACTTGTGGTTGCCAAGGGGGCAGGGGATGGGAAGGGATAGACTGGGATTTCAAAATGTAGAATAGATAAACAAGATTATACTGTATAGCACAGGGAAATATATACAAGATCTTATGGTAGCTCACAGAGAAAAAAATGTGACAATGAATATATATATGTTCATGTATAACTGAAAAATTGTGCTCTACATTGGAATTTGACAGAACATTGTAAAATATATTATATTATAAATCAATAAAAAGTGTTAAAAAAAAAAAGAACCAGTCTCCTTCGTAGTGTTCTGTTTTCTCAGCAAAAAAAGTTCATTATTAGGTAATTGGTGGACAGTGAGCCAGACAATTTCATGGACACAAATTGAATGAGAGGAGCCCACCAACCACACAACTTCAGAGTAGGGACTGGCCAAGATGGCGATGTGGCCAGGAGACGCAAAGGTGGGTGTGAAACAGAAAACAGGGAGGCAATTAACAAAAGAAAGGTACAGACATGAGTAAAAACTGAGGTGGGGAAGGGAGAGATGGACAAGGCAAAGGAGAGTGGCGACACAAAGACAGTTATTAAAATACCCTCAAAGGGCAAAAATGTTTATGCTCATGCCATATCACCTATTTCTAGCTCCCCAGTCATTTATCAAACAACGGTATTTAGTTCTTGGGCATATTTGACACCACCGACACAAATCATTATTATCAGAAAGTATACATGTAAATACAGGAAGACATACTCCAAATTTTGGCACCATCAAAAAGAAGAGAAAAGGGGGAAATCATAGCTCAGTGGTAGAGTGCGTGCTTAGCATGCACGAGGTCCTGGGTTCAATCCCCAGTACCTCCATTAAAATAAATATACATACACCTAACTACCTCTCCCCACAAAAAAACAAAAAATAACTTTAACTTTACAAAACAAACAAACAAGAAACCTTCTTAAAAAAAAGAAGAGAAAAAAGAAAAGGAAAAGAAATACTACTAGATTTGTCCACCAGCTATAAGAGAAAATGATTTTTGGTTCTACAATAAGATAGCCAACAGACAAAGGAAAAAAGAATTGATTCAGAGGAAAAGAACAAAGAGAAAAAGCCAATGTCTGGGAGGCGTGGCCTGTGCAAGCTCACCCCGTGGGGTGTGCAGAAAAGCCCAAGTCAGCACAGTAACTGGAGGACTCACGCCAGGACAATGATCCCACATCATTTCATAATCTCTAAAAACACATCGTTCAGAAAGAGCATCAAGAAGTGAAGCATACCGAGTAACTCCACCTGCCCTCGGTCTCATCAGCTCTCAGAGGCACCAAGAGATGTCCCTGAAGTCTTCGAGTGGAACTGTCCACACGCATTTGAAGTCCAGATGTACTCTGCAGGCTCAGAGGAAAGGTGGTCTGGCTCCCGCACAAGGGTCCACGCCTGATCTGCCAGCACTCACACCTCAGAGGAACCAGTCTTCCACCTCAAGCTGACAACCAGCAAGCTGAAGCCTTCGAGAACTTGCAGGATAGAGAGCCCTGTGCTCTGGGCCCCCTCCCCTCCTCCCACCCCAGACGAGGCATACTTCATTAACTAGACCGTGAAGAATCACGGGGCCAAAAGTCCAAGTTCCAGCTCTGCCCCTCGACTAGGGGTGCAGCGCAGCCCTCAGTTTCCTTAACTGTAAAATGGCAGGAACACCACCACCACAGCATTAAGGCTGAAGCACTGAGGGGGGAAAGAAGTGTTCTGTAGCCATGAAGACCTGCCCAAATGAAGTATTTTAATTACTACTGTAGCCTGAGTGACAGCGCCAAGCCCGCTTCCCCAACTTGTCTTTGCATGTGCTGTTCTAGCCGCCCCAGGATTGATGTAGTTTGGGCTGCCTGTTGGTATGAGCCTATTTTTAAAAACCATGGGAGTCTGACTCAAACAGAGGAATGTTCGAGATTTTTTCCAGAATGAATTCCGGGCTGCTGCAATGTCTGACTCTGGTTCCCGTCAAGCAGACAGAGCAGGTCCCTGCACAGGGCCCCTCCCATCCTTGGGTGCCACATCTCAGTGGGGGAGGGGTGGCAGGGCCAGCAATCATGCCCCGCCCCCCGCCCCATCCCATGACCTCTCTGTGAGGTCTTCCGCTTTTTGTCACCTGTGTCCTTCCCCCAAGTTCCCAGATACACTTTCTTTAATCCAGAATCCACTTCCACATTCTCTGTGGATTATGATTAATTAACTGATGAGCACTTTAGGACCAGGAAACAGGGAACTAGCCTGGATTCAGGGAGGCTGGGAGGCACCCACGGGAGGGAAGTGGACACCAGCCTTGGAGAGTAAGAGCTGGGTTGGAATCCAGACCTTGTCACCAAGGATTTGAGACCTCAGGGGCCATTAAACTTCCTGCTCAGTTTCTGGATCAGTGAAACCGGGAGGACATTAATTCCTGCAGGTACTGAGGAGACCACGTATATAAACACCATACATCTGCGCCTCCACAAGAAAAACTTCGGCCTCAGTTCCCCTGAAAGTCAGTTTTTAAAGCAATTTCCTGTAGGAATAAAAAGAGAGACAGAACATTCTGCCAAAAACTTGAGTGTAAATAGCTAATAGCCATTCAACTCCAAATTTTCCAGACATGAAGGCAAGAGGGAAACAAGATGTGATGTACCGGTCTCTTTCTCTGCTAAGAGAGTATCCATTCTGAAGTGAGAAATCTCTTGCCATCAAATTCTAAGAGGAATTAAGCACTGAAACACACACAGACACACAGACACACGTGTCTCCCTACAGGGAGGCTGCAAATATTAAAAAGAAATATTTCTCTCCCAGTTTTCCAGAAAGGAAGGGGTGTAAGAAAAAGGGTAAAATCATTAATGTTCAGACTGAGGGTTTATTGCTACCTCAACTATGCCGATTTTAAATGCTACAAACTTCTCAATGGGCCTTGGCAATGACGGAATGTTCTATCAGTGTAACAGGGAAGAACCTCTGCATTCCATGACAAGTTAATCACTAAAGGGATGTTGCCTATGAGCTTACATTGTACAAAATGGCCAACCGCCGGGAACCTGCCTCCAAGCTAACAAGCGAGCTCTAAGCTAAAATACCTCTGTTTAGCTCATAGGAACCATCCTGAACAGCCCACCTGTGAATGGCTCCAGGAAGGAAGAAATTAACACATCCCCTCGAGAGTCTGGTGGGAACCAGGACTTCCCCTCCTCTCTTTTTAGTATAAAAGAAGCCTGAATTCTCAGGGAAGATGGTTCTTTGGGACACTAGTCCACCATCTTCTCAGTCTGCTGGCTTTCCAAATAAAGTCACTGTTGCTTGCCTCAACAACTCATCTCTCAATTTACTGACCTGTCGTGCGGTTTGCAGTACAAGCTTTGACTTGGGAACATCAACAGGTTTTGGAGGGACTGACATTTCTGGACCAGTTCTCAGTGTGGCCCTGCGAGTGGGAGTTAAGCTACGGTGCCCCAACTCCCCAGAGAGGGAGGCTCCGTGGTTGGCTGACTGAAGGTGAAGCTGCTGCTGCAGGCTGGGGGCACCTCTGCCAGGAGAGGGTCTGGGCACATTTTCCACCTTTGGGTACACTTCCAGAACCACACACACTTGGATGCACTCGACAATACATCCAGCCACCCAGTTCTGCACCACCTACAGAGTCGCCACTTCCCATGTGGGCAGCAGAGTGAGAGCCGGGCTCACCTTCCCTGTGGGTGCCTGTCTCTGGTGACATCAGCTCAGCCCACGTGTCCCCTTCCTCCCTCTCCACGTAAGACCCCTATAAGCTCATCTCCCCGTGTGGCTGCACCCCTCCTCTCTGCAGCCATTCCACATAATCCCCCCCTCAGGGCCAGCAGAAGATTAGAGAAGCAGGATAAAGCAAGCCCCAAAGACAAGCCGATCACCTGGCACCTGTGAGAAGGAAGCTACTCCTGCAGGCAGCCCCTCCCATAGCCTTCTGGTTTTTCCTGTTTCCAAAGCACCCAGCTCCAACTGTATTTTGCACAGAATTCCTGCCACTGCTTGGTTCATAAGCATAGGTTTCCCACCATAATCAAGTATCAACTAGCATTCCCTCTGAAATGTATTTTTAAAGCTTTCATCTCTCTGTCTTGCCTTCAATAAAAAGCGAAAATTAGTTTTTGTCTTTAGGGACATATATCACATGACAAACATTCCTGGAGAATGAAGGTAGAGAATTCCAGCAAAAACTTTCGGTTTTTTTAAGACTGATTTTTGTTCAACCATTAAGATAAA